GGACAGAAATGGGCCGAGGTCAGTCAACAAGACTTGCGGCGATAAGAGTGATTCTTTTTTTATGTCCATCTCGCCACGCCAAGCGCAAAATATCGCCGCGAAATTGGTATCCCAGAGATTGTTTAGTCAGCTTGGTTGTGATTTGGATCCGCTAGGTTCGATCCCTGATGTAACTCGATGTAGCATTTCTGTTTGCATGGAAAATCTGGGACGCCAAAGTACGTTTCCCCGTCTGCACTTTCAGTCGAAACGAGAGCGTCAAGTTGTCTGTGTATCTGCGAGATAAAAGGGACCTTGTCATCTTGTTAGTTTTCATAAAAGTTATGACTATTATGGAAATAGCTCAATACAACTTTACCAACGCGCACCTCCACGTACACTAGTCTAGTCCCGATTTGAATCTGTGGATGTGAAGACAACGTACGTACCAACAAGTGTATAATGCCAAAGCCACACCGCCATCTACAAAGCTTAGCTTCAACCCTTAAACCATGAAAAGCGTTCGTCTGCTTCTGTGCCGTTTTACGTCATCGACCGAGGGTCCTGTGATGACGCTGCCGACCCAGTCTGTGCCTCAGTTTGTGGTGATGAGGTGATGCACCTTTCGGTTTCCGATTCTCAAAGTAATTTGTATAATATACCTTTACATAAACAGTTAGTATTAATACTCGTGCCAGGCCCTTGGCTTATGTCTGCCCCAATCCCAGGCACATACATGTCCTTATTCTTTGGTTCCCCAGAAGCAGCCGACGTGGTCTTGAAAGATATTTTCGGTGGCAAGGTCGCCGGTGTGTCGCGTAGCTTCTTCTGCTTCTCCTCGAACTTGTAGCGACGACGCGCTTCCTGTATCACCAGATCTGACACGGTCCCCAGCCTGGCACAATAATAGACGGCTTGGCAGGCCGAGCACTGGTTTGAATGGTTTCAATGATGTTGTTTTTGATCTCGTTCTGGTCGGATCAATTGCTGCCGGGAGGCCCACAAGTGGCCCATAATAGGGGTCCGCCCGACGGTCAGGGCTCAATGACCATTGACCATTGATCAATGACCACTTGACCAGATTTTTACCTTTGTTCAACACATATCCCAGACCTATTGTTGGCGGAACAATACAATCTAACCCCTGTAAGTTTAGCCACCAGTGACTTCGAATAGAGCTTGCAGGGGCTACAAGGCTAATAGGGTATTTAGAAGGAATAAAAGTATATGAAGTGGGGTAAAAGGTATAAAATAAAATATAGATTTTTAGTAGAAAAATTAGTACTTTATTCTAGGGTTAATACCTTACGTATTCTCTTTGTATTACGATAACAGCTTTTCCGAGAAAAAAAAAAAAAATACACGGCCTACCCTGCCGGGGCCTAACAGCTGTTAGTGAATAACCTGACAGCTGGCCCCATACACTTATGTTACACATGGCTAAACATTCAGGGGATATATTGTATGTCTGTCAATACAACTAAAACACAGTCTGTCTGCAGCATGTATCATGTAACGGCCCCGGCGTCGATGTGGTCTCTCGGCTGATATCGCAATGTATTCTTGTCTGCCCTGCACTTGGTCTGCATCTTTCACGCTCACAACCGTCATCGATCAATTCGTTCCCCTACAAGACACTCATCCTGGTATCACCACATCACCTTGAAGATGTACGAGTGCGACACTTGCACAAGGGAGTTCTACAGCGCCCGCTCCTGCGAGCAGCACATGAATGATACCCCTGGCCTTGCAAGGGAATACCCTGCATGCATGCTCGGCGCCCATGCCCAACTCCCAAAGCACATTTACGGCTTACACGAGGCCGACTCGGCATCAAAAGGCAATCAACCTCCGTCCATCGAGGATCCTACCAACATGCTGCTGCACCTTGTCAAACCTCATAAACGAACACGTCTCACTCTCCAGGTGATTGAATAGTCCAGCCAGGGACACAAATTGCTTCGGGCACCCACCCCGATGATTCGGGCAATGGTACACTTTTTCCTTGTGTGTAGGAGAATTCAGATGCATGTTCAATCCGTGTAGGGAGCTGAATTGACTGTGGCAGATGTAGCACTCCCAGGCGTCCCCGTTGTACGCCAAATGGTTGGCCTCGTACGTGGTGGTTTCTTCGGGGTGCCACCCGATCTGCTTGTTCGTAATGACGCCATGAGGGTCGCGTTGCCGGATCAGTGCCAGTATTGTCTCTCTGTTGAGTGAAGGTGCGTTGTTGCAGGAGCCTGTTTCGAGGTGGTGGCTGAGGCCGCTTGCACTGGTAAAGCCCGTCTGGCAGAATGGGCATGGAACCTGAGTTCCCCGGTGGACCCTGGAATTGAGATGCTTTGGATCCGTCAGAAAAGGAGTGCCGGACATGATGCGGCGTGGGTTTTTTGGGGAGGGGGGAAATACCTACCATCTGGAGGTTGTTGGCATTTTGGAAACGCCGGTCACACGACTTGCAGTAATTCTGGTAGTGGCCTTGGGCCTGCATGTGTGCTTCGGCGGCGCTCTCCGTGGCAAACTTGCTGGAACAAGTGTCGCAAGGAAAACGAGGTGCCCAGTGGCTTAAGGCATTCATATGCTGCTGGACTGCGTGTACGGAACGGAACTCGCTGGTGCAAGTGTCGCATTCATACCGTGGGCCCCAGTGCACAGACAAAGCGCGTGGTTTCGTGATATTGTTTACATTGTATTGGAACTATAGGAATTTGCGTTGTTGGCTGATTTGGTCAGCTTCTACAAGAGGCAGGTTTGGTGGTGTTATAGGACTGCCTCTGTTCATTGAACATGCAGAGTTGGAGTAATTGCTTAGTGTTATAAAATTATAGATGCCAGAAGATGAGAGGCTGGCCAATTACATGCAGCACCTTGGACTTTAATTATTACCTTTTTCATTTTATATGAATAAGTCTTTCAAGCGAGTATTAATAGTAATTTCAAAATCTGCATAACAGAAATGAACTGTTTCTCAGCCTTATAAACCCTGCCCGGTGTAAAGGGACTTAATTCCGATAATAATAACTTGCTGTGATGACACATTTCACCTCCAGGAAACAAGAAGCATAAAGTGAGGAAGAGAGTTGTCCCGATATACAACCAACTACGGAGTACTCCGCACTGCACGCCTAAATGGCAGCGTCAACCGCTAGTTCTGTCGACCCGAGTGCCATCGATTGAGGCTTCTCTACGTCGTCTAATGCAATGGCAGGTTGAAGCCAGCAACCATACCCTAGTCTTATTATAAACATTTTCAACACTGTCTTCAAGAGACCATGTTTGCTATTTACTAGGTTTCGCTTATACCACAAGGGTATATATTATACCACAAGGGTTGTTGCACATTATAGTGCTTCAATTATTATATTATAAAGCACTATTTTTTTGGTCTCTTACTGTTCTTGGCTTAGTACAGCCTAATACTACATTACCAGATATTATGCGTGCACGATCATTTGCCTTAAGAGGGAAACAAGGAATAACTTGAATTATTATATTATATGGAGTTTCGCATAGCAGTAGCAAGTTAATACAACAAGAAAACACAGTGATACCAAAGTGTCAACACGTGATAAACATACCATGTATTGACTCTGATTCGACAAAAGGCTGTTTGATTTGGTAATGAATTCCGCCTCGCTTGTACGATATGCAGGCGGACAGTTGACAAGGTGTCAACTGGTACATATCCGGTGGCAAAAGTACCAAATCCCGCCCGCTCATCTGCAAAAAATGCTCGTGCTACCTTTCCCAGGATCAGGATAGTTTCCTCCACCCTCATCTCGCTCAGCCTCTGTGCATGAATTCCTCCTCGACCAAATCCTCATCCCGTCCAGCAGGCGACCACGTCAACCGTACGCAAAGAGGAGGGTGGCAGCCCATTCCGCCTCGACTGAATGCTTCCAATATTCTGCATTTTGTGGCTGCCGCCTAGCCTCGTTCCCATGCGGGCAACATCGACAAGCGGCAGGCCCTTGTTCCCCATCGTGTGCAAATAATTGCGCAAAAAACGTTTTGCCCCAGCAATGCGCGCAGCTAAAAGCTCAGCGGGCCTTTTTTCGCAACCGATTGACACTTTGTAATCATCCTTACTGTTCAGACAAGGGAGCAGGTTGGTTTTGGGTTGGCGTCACGTCATCAGGCCGAGGCGGCGAAGCTGACAAGCCAAACACAAGAGCGTGTCTTTTGGGGAACACAGCATCGGGCTGTGTGAAGAGGCAGCCTGCGGAAGAACAAGTGCCTTCGATAACCGTGGGACGCAGTCTTTGAAGCAGGTGGCTTGTATCCCACAGGCCCGGCCTCGCTGCACCTCTTGTCGGCGCTGTAACATGCGGCGCAGGAGAGGACGATTGGGTCTTGGTTGAAGATGGCATTTCCACTGGAGCTTCCTGGCAGGGCTATTTAACCGTCTGCGTAGAAAGGCACTCCGTCGCGCGGCTGATGTGGGCGCATGTTGGCTGACGCTGGAGTAGCCTTGTAAGTTGTGCCTACCACACCAAAGACGGGTCTTCACGGCGAGATCAAGTTGTTGGATACGGTTTACCAAGGAAAGAAATTTGGCTGAGCCCTGCTTCAGCAAAGTCGACACTTGATAGCAGGGCACCGAGTTCCTTTGGGAGCATGTGCAGACGAAGCACTCGAGACTAATAATAGACTCGGCGCATATGGAGCATTGCCGCCCGCATCAATATCCTGAGACTTGGCCGCAGGAGGCCGACCAGGTTACAAAATGGCTTTCCGCGTCAAAAAAATCGACATGGACCAATCGACGGTCAAACTGCAGAGTACAGCGTCTAGCAGGGCGGGCGAGATGGCTGGTTTGCTGCAAAGCCTCACACGTACACACCGGCTTCCCAGTTGCAACAGCCGAGATTGATAATTGGCAGCCGCCCAGGTAAACAAGAATGGCTTCTCAATTTCCGCTTCTTCGTAGCCTTATTCCATATGAACCTGCTTTTTGTCACTACTCTTGTAAAGCTGTGTTGTCTATTTTCCTTCAAACAACGCATGCCAGAAGAATCACAATGAAAGTGACTCGGCCGCTGAACCCAGAAGACTACCACATTGCAATAATTGCTCCACTGGAGATTGAGAACGTCGCAGCAACTCTGATGCTCGATAATAGACACGATGGCCGATTTCCCATGGCAAGAGGCTACGAGTATCTGTACACACCAGGCGAGATGGGCGGGCACAATGTCATCGTTGCCACGCTACCCGCAGGCGAGGACTGTGATTTGGGCTCTGCCGCCGCTCTTTCGAGACAAGTCAAGACGTTTTTCCCCAACCTGTGGTTCGGCCTCCTCGTCGGAGTTGCTGCTGGCATGCCCAATGTCGGCGGCGGCGGCGGCCAAGAGAGGGATATCCGACTCGGCGACGTGCTTGTGGCCCAACAAGACGGCGAGCTCCCAGGACTAATCAACTTGGAGCTGGGTAAATGGACCGAAAACGGATTTGTGCTTCGCCGCCGAGGCTGGCTGGACATGACTGACAAGCTCGTCAGGTCGGCAATCCGCCAGATCAAAGCAGGGGATTTCTTGCAAGACCAGCCTTCGTTTCTGAAGCACTACCGGGAGATGATGGGTAATCTAAACCACCCCGAGGCATTCGCCGATCCGGGCCAGGAGCTGGACCTGCTATACGAAACTGGGGAGTCCGTAGTGAAGAGAAGGACTCGAGAGGCCGAGAAGCGTACCCGCGTGTGGTATGGTATGATTGGCTCCGCCAGCACACTTGTAGAGAATGCTTCGAAGCGGGACGAGTTGAGGGACAAGCATAATCTTGTCGGTATTGAGACGGCAGCAGCCGGCATAGTACCCAACATTCCGGTCGGTGTCGTTCGTGGCGTTTGTGATTACGCAGACGAAAAGACAAACGAAGCCTGGCGACCCTACGCAGCAGCCATGGCAGCAGCCTATGCCAAGGAGATTATTCTGCAGATAGGACCCCCCGAAAGACCCAGAAGAGGTGCGTGTCGACCTGTGAATGGGCAAACAGAGCAGATAGAGTAGGCGTTGACTTGTCGTTGCCCATTTAGTATGCAGCCTGCCCTACTCAAAGAACTTGTGCTTTGTAGGACGTGAAAACACCATCGACAACATTCGACACAAGCTCTTCTCCCTGGGGGTAAAACGAGTGGCGCTCTCCGGGCTCGGTGGAATGGGCAAAACGCAGGTTGCCCTCGAGATGGCGCATCGAGTCAAGGAAGCAATGGAGGATTATTCCGTCATTTGGATGCCGGCGCAGACCATGGCTGCGTTTGAACAAGCAGCCGCGGAGCTTGTCCAGACTCTTGGTATAAACCCTGGGCCCGGCGAAAATCCATCAGAAACCCTTCACGCCCATCTTTCCTCTGATGCTTCCGGACCGTGGTTCCTTGTCGTGGACGGTGTCGACGACATGTCTCTAGTTGACGGAACACCCGATGAGCCTCGCCGCCTGCTCGACTGCCTTCCTCAGAGCCCGAGGGGCAGAATGCTCATCACCACACGCACGTCAGCAGTCGCAAACAGCGTTGCGGACCCGCAGAATGTTGTCAAATTAGCAGAAATGTCGTTGGGCGAGGGGAAGCGCTATCTGGAGACGTGTCTCAGCGACAACCGCGAGCTGCGAAGAGACGACGTCGATGAAACTCTCTCTTGTCTTATGGAGAGGCTCGAGTATCTTCCCCTCGCCGTGGCACAAGCAGTCACTTACATGAATGTAAACTGCATGTCCGTCAGCGAGTACGTACGTCACCACGACGAGATGCAGCAGGACCGTGATAATACCGGCCCGACTCACCTTTTTGGCTCACAATTGCGCAATGAAACATTCCACAGCAGGAGCCAGGGGTCTATATTAACTACTTGGTATGCGTCGTTCATGGCAATTCGCAACACAAGTGCCCATGCTGCCCAGTTACTGTCTTTTCTCCGGTGGACAAGTCCAAAGGGTATACCTACCTCCGTGCTCCCTCTTGGACGAGGGCTCAAGAAGGCCGAGGCAATCAATTTACTCTGCTCCTACAACTTCTTGAGTCGGCGAGAGGGTGGCAGGATTCTGGACATGCATCGCTTGGTGCATCTCGCCCTCGGGTCCTGCTCGAAACAGCTCTTCGACGAAGAACAGACGCAAGAGACCATCTCTCATCTCAACCGAGTATCCCCGATATTCCCAAACGAGCATGTCCAAAAGCAGGAGTTGTGGCAGCCAGGTCTTCCACATGTGCTTCCGCTTGGCACAGGGGAGACAACACACGATCCGCAAGCCCGTCTGGAATTTTTTCGTCACGCCATGTTTACGCGGGGATTGGCGCTGGAAAACAGCTGTTGCTAGGCACTCAGCAGGTGGTGGGGTTTAAAAAAGAAACCTCGTCCCGGGATAACCAAAAGAGACTTCAGATACAGAGCGAGCTCGGGATGTCAGGTACAGTTGAGCCGGGCAGTGTCATGGGGCGATTGCTATCCTTGAAAACCTGATGTAGCGAGCCAAGTAGCTAGAGTCAGCCATGGGACATGACGTAGCAAAATGGACCAGACGAGAATACAATGGAAACACCAGGTGACCATGTGCTTCCTGCGAAACAACTACTTGCAGAGGTACTTTTTTCGAATGGCCAAGTAAAAAAAGGTCTTGAGCTGCTGCAAGACCTGGTAAATTTACAGAGGAATACCCTGCCAGAAACCCACGAAATGCGTCTCAAGTCACAGCTCCAACTGGCAAAAGCATGCATGGCTCATGGACATCTCGAAGAGGCTATTGGCCTGCTCAAGCTTATTGTAGGAGTCTGTCCACCAGCGGTGGAATAAAGAACCTAATATCCCACAGTATTCAATTGCAGCTTGTATCGGCCTACGACAAAATCGGCAAGTTCAAGGACGCAGACAAATTGGTAGAGCATGTCAGGGCGACAATGAGGGAGGCCTTCGAAAACACCGAGATGCCTTGGTACTAGACGGACGGCGTGTGAATGGGGGCTATATGGGCAAAACACAGGGTTGATGGCCATGGCATCGATGTTTTCCCCCTTCCGACACACTGTATGCTCACTACTGAATATCACCATGCTTTCAAGAAGTGCGCGCAATCAGTATTACAATAGAGCATGGCTGCAAAACACCCAATACCCATGTCTAAAACCATTGTACTCCTAAGGAAGAGCTCAAGGCCATTTGGCACGCCATACATGGCGTTTTCTGACTTCGTAAAACGTCAAGCACAAAACGGAGAATGCGATCCAACGGTTGAGAGAGCGACCCTATAAAAAGTCTCCCGGCACGCCGTGTTATCGACTCCTTCCCCACTGATCTTGACCATTTACATGGTAGGGATACCCTCATATTCGGCACACTCTAACGCAAGGTTCATGTTTCTGTGTAGCCAATATTAGCACATCACTTCATTCGACAAGATTGGAGGGCCAAACATACGTAAACACTGCGTCGCAGCACCTTTGAGCAAGTTGTCTATGCTGCCACATATGACTATCGTGCTATGAACGGCGAATGCACCAATTCCACGCCGTGCTTGTTCATGACGTTCTTGAGGAGCGGCGCCTCGCCGACGACGACGACGAGTTTTTCACCAGCATACCGGTCCTGGTAGATTTGTCGAATGTCGCGAGAGGTCATGGTCTTGTTGAGAGGCATGTTGAAAGATTGGAACTCCAGAGCATAGCACGGCCGTGGGAGATGAATTCATCATACACGGGGGCCAGGGCATCAGATGGGAGGTCACAGCCGTAGTAGAAGAGAACGCTACCGTTATTATTGAAACTGCCATCAGGCTTCTCAAATACGCAAGTGAGATTCTCGTCACTCTCACGGACGATCCAAGCAAAGCTGGGATAGTCCTTCTTAATCGCGGGGAAAACGTTTTCAGCGACATTCATCAACCAGCCAGACTTGGTGATGGTCAACGTAGCCAGAGTAAGCCATAGCACGGTCCTTGTTAGGCGGCATGACAATAGATAGACGTTGCATAGTGTCGTAATAAGCAGTGAAGGAATTCTCTTGAAGGAAAGCAATATATCGCCCAACAGTAGCCTCGGCGTCCAGACCTTCGCGGTACCCAAATCAAAGACGCCTCAAGCTTTTCAAGGTCCTCGAATTCAGCAACAGAAGAAACCTTTTACATCTTATCACCACGACGGATAAGAGTACCAGCACCAGAATCAGTAAAAAGTTCCTTTTGCATCTCGCTCGGATGGATGATGGCAACACTCGAGCTGCGTGGAAGGGTGTCTAAAAGCTCCTTAATCTCCTTAATCTTAAGACGAGCGCCGTACCGGCACCAGGGCTGAGACATGAGATGATCGAATTCTTCATCCAGGTTAATGTGGGAGATCTTCTCGCCTTCGCCGTTAAAAAGTCCCCCCTTTTCGGAGAGATAAAGAATTTTAAGAGGCTCCAAAGCACGGGCAAGTTCACCGGCAGCGACATCTGCATTAACGTTGAGTAGTCTGCCATCCTCAGACTCAGCCATAGAAGTTAAGACAGGAATGTATCCGGCCTCAATAGACTTTTCGATGGCCTCCTTGTTGACCTTGGTAATCTTGCCCACATACTGCCACTTTTCCTTGTCGAGATAATCCGCCATAAAGACTCCACTTAATGAACGGGTGGCGACACCAAGTTCATCCAAACGATCAATGAGTCGCAAGTTTTCCTCGAGGAAGAGCTTTCTGGCGATACCAAGCGTCTTAGCATCCGTCACACGGATACCTTCCTTAAACTGAGGTTCAACGCCAGCTTCTTCCAGAAGCCGGTTCAATTGGGGCCCGGCTCCGTGGACAATTACAGGATACAATCCCACTTCGTATAGAAATAGCAAGCTCCTGCAAAGCTCACTAATATATTCCGTCAATATGGCACCGCCGACCTTGATGACGGCGAACTTCTGGGATGAAACCGAAGTAAACAACTTGAGGTACTGCTGATTGCTGCCAATGCTGCTCACAGTCTGGGCAACAATCTCTCGTGCACGGTCTCGGGCAGGTGGTGATGCCAACGCGGTCGTGGTAGAGAGGGCTTGGCATAGGGCGACATTGGGACGTCGGATCTGTCTCGGAGCCGCGACGGACGAAGCTCCAGCTACTCGGGATACAGCTCGTCGTGAGCCTGCCCGCAAGGAGGTAGCTGTGACAGACAGCATCGTCCTAATTGAAGATTGGGAGGAATGGACGACACAAGAAAGAGTATGGTGGCTTGCCGTGAGAGAATCTGTCGTAGGGCGGTGAAGAGCTTGAGTGCAGCGTACTCGGTACCTAGCCCTGGCAACTGGGTACTTGAAAGGCCGTGTTTGATGCCAACAAGCCAAGTCAGCAAGACGTCGGGGCGGGAGGAAAGGTCCTGAGGCAATTGAGGTCGAGTGCAGGGGAGCAGAGAAGCTCTGCGAATGAGAGCAAAAATATCAGATGGGCGGGCACAGGGAGCCTGGTGATATATACTTGGTAGTGTGTATGCAGTATGAAGGTATGCGGTCTGCCGACCCGCCTACCAGCCGGCCGAATTGTCAGTTCTTGCCGTTTCGGCAACTGATAAAAAAGACCGCATACCTTCCAACCTTGACTTAGTCTCGTGCAAATTACAAACCACCTAGTGTTGCGTATATGTACTCGCACAAATGCGGCCTAAACATGTTCACAAGACACAGCTGCCCATGGAAGAACGACTGTAGAATCTGGCACTCCGGTCCGGTCCATCAGCTCACCATGTCGAGTCTCGACCTTGCGTGGTTGCGTAATTGTCCGAGGTTTCATTGCGTGCCGCTTTATCCAGAGCTCGCACGTCCCCCTTTTCCGGCAAGCTGTGGCCGATATCCCATTCCAGTCCAGTGCGTGAGGCTTTTCTAAATGTCAGAGCACAACCCAAGGCCCGGTTGTCGATGCAACCTGATACTCGGCCGGCCACGACATTCCCCAGCTTTCGGCCTCGCAGCATCTCCAGTATCCAATCGAACGGCGCGTCGTCACATGCAAATTAATCAGCACACAATAGGTTAGAATAAAACGACTGAAATATCTCAATTATACTGTGTGCAACGCCAAACCCTGAACCATACATATAGGCTTGGGCTGCTCCCAACTAGCCACACCGATAGCTGGTTATCAGGCTGCCGACACTCGCCACTGGCGAGTGTCATGGCCATCTTCCAGAGACAAAGCAGAGCGGGCAGAGTGAGCCCAAAACAAACTACTCCAGCTCCAGGTGAGCCAACTCCGTCGTGCTCAAAATGAATATTTGCGGTGTCGATGGCTTCATCGCCTTGTTGTCGCAAGTTCCGCTGCCGTCGCACATAACTAGTTCCACAACGGTATCTAGACTGTCGCTCCATTCTTGCTAGAGCCTGTACCCAAAAAACAAAAGGATCGCGATTAATGACGAGTGGCAACAACTAGAAGAATATGTTAGACAAGAGCCACGTCCCGAATGTAATGAACCCCAGGCAAAACAATCACGTACCAGAAGGGATGATAATAACAAGCAGAAGGATAATGATGCCAACAATCAAACACATGCGCATCTTCATGTCCTTCCACCACATTTGCTTGCGAACTCTGTTGGCACCGCGACGGAATTGTTGGGAAGAATCCGCTAGGTTGCTGGTCTTGTCTTGCAGGCCATCGAGGTTTTCCCCTCGATCCTTCATCGAGTTAAGATTGTGGCGCGAGATTTCCGTCGCCGCCGCCAAATCCTATTACGGTTCAGTCAGCACTGCTGGGCTATATTTGGCAGCATTTCGTGCATTGTGCTAAAGAAATAGTCATGGCCAGGTCAGGTTCCGACTGTCGCTGTCATTCCCACAGAGTGACTTTTCACGGCTTCAATAGCTGTTTGTCTTCTGGCCGAACAAACTTTGGGGCACAGTAGCTAGGCATAGAGAGTATTCAACAGCCTAATTTCGAGGCCGCACCAAAGCATGCCATTCGTGTCTCAATAGGAACAAGTACCTACCTTCTGAATTGTTTGTATTTTACCATCTTGAGCACTGCCATCGAAATTTTGATTGGTGTTGGACGGCGTCACATCCTGGGAGCTGTAATGGCCACCTTGCCCGTAGGATAGGTTGTTGGACATTTTGAAGAGTTTGGTGACTATAGGTTCGGTCGGCGGATGAAATAAATTCGGCGCAAAGTCAAGAGAACTTGCGATCGGACAGACGAAGAGCGTTCAAAAATTTGATGACAACGATGTTGACAGATGCGCAGCGTGAGAAGGACGATTTGGTCAAATGTGTTGGAAGAACAGGATTGACAGATGAGATTCCGAGTTGGCAGAGGAGGCAAGACTGCGCCCACCCCCCTTCTCGAGTAGCCGTCTCCTGGTTGGCGAGGC